ACGTCAGCAATGGGATGGGGCAAGCGCTGGAAACCATGCATGCGACACTATAGATACACAAAGTGGCATGTCCATCGACTATGTTTCTGCGACTGGAACCAGTGTTTGTTCTGATGTGCTTCAAGATGGACACTCGTATGCTTGGCTGCTTGGGCATTTTGAGGTGCACGCCATCATGCAAAAAGTATGGCAACTGCTGCCTGGAGCTGAGTGTTGCGACGTGTTGTTGCTGTGAAAGGTACGTGTCGGGCCAGGCATGTGCTTGGCCCGTTCGGAGTTTTGGGGGTGTTTTTTTGAGTGTGTTGAGTTCTGCAACGTTGCAAAGGGTCACATGACCATTTGCTTTTTCATCACTTCGAATTGTTTGTACGAGTGCAACAACTTTGCCACTGTCGAGCGGCGCTCACTGGTTACCACATGAATTGCGTGAAATGCCCATTTGTTTGCTAGCTTGACTAGAAACATTGCGGATTGAGGAGCATTCTGCTCATCACATGCCATTTGTATCACCGCCCAGCTCTTCAGCGGAAGGGTGTGCCCTACCCAGGTCCGGACTACATGCTCGCATGCCTGGCCAGAGGAAAGGCCAGCTCGGGGCACGCCTCGAGGAGGTTTGCATAACCAGCCAGGTGGAGCGCAAATGCATACAACACAAAGGACCTGTTTCGAAAAGGTAACTTCACCGCAAGCTTGCTTGGCTCCGCCACGCGTGGGTGCCGTGGGTGAGGTGGGGTGAGAGCTCGGCCAAGGTTGAAGAGCACATCCTTCACTTTCCCAAGGCGAATCGACCTTTTGACCTTTTCGGTTTCCCCGTTTTGAGCCGTGTTTAGTCTTGGCCCCAAAGGTCAACGTTGAGTTTCTGGGTCCTTTGGGCAACTGAGTTCAAGTTTGAGAGTTGCGGGTTTACTGTGGAACATGCTGAAAGTTCACGGAGTAGAAGGCTAACTTCCCTTCGGAACTTCGGGAGTGCGTCGTGGGGCTGCGGCGCAGGCCCCTGCAACAACTACTGAAGCTCCGCTGACCACGGCAGCAGCAGCTGAAACCACTGCTGCTGCCACCACGGCTGCTGCCACCACGGCTGCTGCCACCGCAGCTGCCACCGCAGCTGCCACCACAGAGGCCGCAGCACAGGAGGGCCAGATGTGGTGAGTTGCATGTGGCTTGAGCTGGTTGAAAGCCCCTTATCAAGCCCATGGGCACAACAAGCAGTTGGACACGCAGGCCTTTGTTGTCCTTTCTATCTCTTGTGGCCGACCGTGTTTCGCTGAACTGTCAGATGAGCAGGGCGAGTCAAAGTTTCGGCGTTATTCCAGGAGGAGCCGGAGTCTGCAGATGATGATGCAGGCCCGGTCCGGTGATGCATGTCAGTTCATAGGTGTTTTTTGTATTGGAAGTGGGACCTTTTGCCGGGGTGGGGGACCAGTTCGTATCAGAACGGCAGGCTCTTGCAATGTTGGCGCGCAGGCTCTGAGCGTTGCAATGTTAAGGGGGGTCAGGTAGGTCAGGTAGCAGAGGGCTGTTCCGATCCAACCTGCTGCCTGTTCCAGTTTCTCACGTCAGTTCGAGCGGCAGCTTCAAATGCTGGACCGCAAACTGGCAGGTGATTGTGACCTGAGTCAGTCTACTTTTAGGGTACCCTGCACAGTGGATCGCCAAAAGCGGTTTTGCGAGGCGATGCCTGGAAAGGCACTGTGGACGGGATCGTGCACATGGATGACTCCTGGGTACATGGTGGCGTCGCCGCTGGGGCCAAAACATATTGCCAGAGCCTGGAGAGCAGCAAGATCCCCAACCTTGTGCGGGGCGTGCCTGGCTCCTAAGCGAACCCTTCCCCACACAAAGTTCGATCATTTTCGGTTCGGGGATTACTCCGGGGGGTGTGCCAGCTGAAGTGGAGAGCCAAGCAGCAAAGTTTAGCCTGAGTCCTAGCAATCTGGGCGTGGATAAAATCCAGCTTTCTGTCCATTGGTGCCAGTTGCTACTACTTGAACTGGTTGGCACAGGGTCATGTTCCCTGGTTCCCAAAGGGTGGTTGCCTTTCAGTCACCTTCATCCCTTTCTTGAAGAAAGAAGGCCAACCACTGCGGTTGTGAGGTGTGTTCACCGGCAAACTCACAGAGGATGTGAACAAAAATGGGCTAAATATGTACAACAGATGTCTAAATATTTACAAAATATCATTTTCCCATGAGCAAGTGTTCAAAAATCCAGGTACGAGGCAAGTTGGTTTGAAGAGTACCATCTCGTTCTCGGCTTGAGGAGGGCAGCTGCCAAACCGCGAAGCGCGGGGACGAGTGCTACGTGGCCGTCAGCTGGGCGGGGCCGCCCAAGGGTGCGGGGAGGGTAAGCCAGGAGCGCTTGCTTCCTTGTGAAGAAGTGGCCTTTGATACTTTATGCAATTCCAACTGCACCTGGGCAAGCTTGGCTGGCAGACAGGTTGGCCCTGTTGTTGGAGGGTTGCCAACCTCAGAAACTCGGGTGTATGGACCGAGGCTTTGGATTTAAACGCCTTTCCCGCCCTCCTCTGCCCCCCGCCCCCTCCCCCGCATTTTTCCACTGCCTTGCTGGAAATGCAGCCCTCCTCTGCAAGGAGTTGCTACACGTTTTTGTTTTTTGTTTTTCCTCTCTTTTTTTTTTCCGGAGGGACATGGAGGAAATTGTCCCAAAAGAGTTGGTTGAGATCATTGAGGTCTTTTTCGCCACGCCACCTTCGGATTCATCTGCAATGCGGTACTAATCAAGCTTCTAGAATATAGAGGATTCTCCAAGCAAAAAGGGGAAACGTTTCCTGAGCGATTTGGAGCAATTTGGAGGTGCGATTGGCTTAAAGGGATAATTGGAGCTTGATAGGGCGGCCAGGCAGAAAGGTCTCCAGTTGAGTTTGCCTCCCAAAGGGGGCGGCCTTGGTTTCCATATTTGCCCAATCCCAAAAAACGAGTACCCTTGAAGAACCACACCCAGTGGGTGAATCATTGCTGCGCACATTCATGAATTGTTGGCATGGCAGCTCAACTGAGGCCATGACAGATGGCATCTACGATGCTTGGCCGAACCTACCGGCGTGCAAGTTGGGCCACTGAACATGGCCCGTTCATTCTGTTTGTGAGAATGGTGGCGTTCCCTCCATCGCAATCCAAAAAAGAAAGGCAGCAAAAGTCAATTCGCGAATTGGCGGCCGAGAGGGGTGCCTGCAGGTCTGCCGCCCAATCTCCGAAAATTCTAGTTTCGCGCCTTTGGATGTCCTGCCCCCGCTTGCAGAGACGCCCCATGACGCCCTCTTGCCCTCTGAATGTTGGTTTCCACAAATGGCCTCCCCAGAAAAGGGTTCAGGGAGGCTGCCGGAGCTGCGGTTCCAGGAGGTTCCGGGGTGAAATTTGGGGATACCATCTGTTTCTGTTTTTCTCTTGGCCAGGAAAGGGGGGAACATGAAGTCCATGTGTTCGCCTCTCTTGGCCGGCAACATGCCCCACATTTTCCGTGGGGAAGTTGTGTGGCCGGCCCCCACCGGGACACGGGCGCACGGGCGCACGCGCCCGGCGCGGACATTTTCCCGAGGAGCACCCGGAGTGGTGGCCGGAGCTGCAGCCTGGGGCCTCGAGCTTCGAGGAGTTCCAGCAGCACCAGCGCCTGGGAATCGAGCGGATCGAGCGCGAGAGGCGGCAGGTTTGGGCGGGAAGGTGGGAGTTTATTTCGGTTGGTTTTAAAGGGAATCGATTTCACTACTGGACATAGTGGTTCTATTTTTTTCAAGGGTCTTAACCAGATGGAAGTTTGGAGCGGGGGGAGGCGGCCAGGGAAGCCAGGCGGAAGGCGGAAGGCCATGGCTTGGGTTGGTGTTGGGTGTTGGGGGCCATGGCTTGGTTTGGGCTTGGGTTTAGGTTTAGGTTTGGTTTGGGGGGTGGTTTGGGTTTGGGTTTTGGTTTGGGTTTAGATTGATTTGCAAGTGGATGATTTGGAAGATTGGTTGGGTTGGTTTGGGTTTGGGCTGGGTGCTTTGTTTGGGGTATCTTAGCCTTAATGTAAAGAGCCTGGTTTGTTTGATGGGCGTGCCGCACGCTTGCAACAGCAATTGGCGCGATGGTATCCTGCTGTTTTTTTCCCCAGCTGGTGCCATTCACACAGCCCTTGCCCAAGGATCGGCTGCAGCTTGATCTCAAATCACATGTGGGGAATGCAGCTCGCCGAGGGCAAAAGAGAAAGAGCGCCGAGGCACCTGATGAACAGCACGCTCTGCCCCGAGCCCTGCATGGTGAGGCCAGTTGGGTGGGGCTCTGGTGCTCAATGCCCTCAATGCGCGCCTGCCGCACAGAGGATACCTGGGTCTAGTGCTCGGATCATTCGCTGAGGCCGCCCCAATGCTTGCGCACAGAACGCGTCAGAATGCCAGAGCCAGATGGTGGGTTGTCAAAAATATGGACGCTTTCTCCCTTTTACAGAAGGGCATCACATTCACCATGGCCCAAGGGTACTCAGTTTTGACAACCTCCCCAGATAACGACCAACCACTTGTTAAGGGCATACCTAGCTTCATTCTCAACACCCTTCATTCCCTACCTATGGCACCAAGACAAGGACGTCCGGCCGCATCGTGTGTTCCAGAGTCCGGCCTTGAGCCCCGCCTCGCTCGCCAGGTATCCCGAGTACTCCGTGCCCACCTTTCGCTCGGACCACTCCCGCGTCATGAAGGGGGTCTCCTACGGAGCGCTGGGAGCTGAGGATTTTGCTTTTTTCGCGGCGGAGTCGTGGATGCATAGGCCCACCCCTTTGGCAAATGTACGAGTGGATGCATGGCTAGGCATGTTTTAAGGTTTCAAAGCCATTTCCCCTTGGTTGCTCCGAAAGTGGAAGCCGATCGTTTCAATGGGAGCCACTAGTGAATTGATCAACTTGTGATTTGGGGAAATCCGAACGTGACCCCTGGCACTTGGCCATGAACGAGTGTGATGACAAGCAGATTTGTCCGAAGGTCGCCTCTCAAGACCACCGGGGTGCTGCTGACAGATGACGACTTCATGACCGCGTGGGCGCTTAGCTAAACTGCCCGCTGCCTGTTTCGGGGATTTTTCGGAGGAAGGAGCCCACACCCTGAAGCTGAAGCCCCAGCGCGAAAACCAAGGCAGAGAGTTTGCGTGCAGGATGCACCGGCTAGAGGCAAACCATGGAAGACATGATCCGGACAATCGCTGCGAGGTACACATGGGAATAACCCGGATGGAAATTTCTGAGACGAAAGCGAAGGTCCATGAATTTCTGTGGGTGTGAGTTCTCCTTGTGACGGCTGGTTCCGTCCACTGAGGATATCACAGGTGCCATGTGGGACAGCTGGGGTCGTGGCGACCTCGACTTGCTGAAGAGCATGGGGGTGAACACGTTGCTCGGCCCACTTTCTGGAGGTTTCCGGGCATGTTGAGCCTTGCGCCATTTTTGCGAGTGGCTGGATCTGGAAGACGCCAAATGGGGTTGCAAGGCCAAAAGGCGCTATTTTGCAAGTGGCTGGCCTTAGAAGACGAAAAAACAAAAAAGGCCCCCTCACTTAGGGCGCGATTCGGCCCGAGTCCCCAAAGAGAAGGCGGGGCGATTTCTTGCTTTGCCGCGTGAGGCTGCGGATGTATGGCAACGACCTGCACCTCAGCTAGTGGGCAAGGGCCTTCCACACTCGGGGTTTGTTCCGCTGGAGGGGTGCTACTTGGGCATCCCCGCGGAGGGTAGATGGGAAACCCCTCGCTAACCCAACCACCAAACCACCAAACCAAACCACCAATTAGATAGAAGGTTCGCAAAGTTGGCACGAAATCTTGCAAAAAGCTGACCTTGAAGAGGCTTTGCAGGTTTATACCTGGGCCACGGATGAATTGTGCCACATTTGGATGTGGGGGGTCTGATTCGCACGTCCGGGTTGGGCTGTTTACTACCTGCTGCCACTACACATTACCCGGGCGCTGCTGTGGCTCCTGTTTGGACTTGCCATTTCGATGTGCCTGATTCGCACGCTTGTTTGTTTTTTTTTGTAAAGCAGGTTGGTGAAAAAGAAAAAAACGCATTGCCTCTTTTGGCAGCGGGGATCCAGCATTCTGCCCGCCCGCGTCTCATTGCCCCTTTGGCCTTCCAAGGCTAGCGCGGGGCTTTGGGGTCTCGGGCCTTTCTTGGCCTTAAGACCGCTGTCATGGTTGTTGTTGGGAAGCATTTTACATTTTTGCTCATTGTGGTTTAGTGGTTGAAATCCAACCACTTAACGTCTAACGTCTTTTTTTTTTCTCCCCTTCCAACGTCAACCGGTGGCTGTTGCCAGGAACTACAGCCACCGCAGCTTTTTGGACGGCGCCCTGAAGCGCGACATGGACATCATCGTGGGCCTATCGGACTGGGGCTTCATCCAGGGCCCAGATCCCTGCGAGAAGACCGACCGACCGGGCGGGCGGGAGGATGAGGATGAGGTGGTCCTTAGGCTATTAGGCTATGCCACCTGGAAAGACCACTAAAGGGGACCCTTGGACCCTGGTGCCATGTTGGGAGGGTACCTTGGAAACATGTTTGCGAAGAGAAGGGGGCGAAGGGACCACCCGCAATAGTCCGGAAGGGGAGAGCGGGCAGTCCATTGGGGATCTGTGGGGTTCCAAGTCGCATGGAAGACAGATACCGTTGAACCCGTTCGAAGGAATGGGGGTTTGTTTCAGTGTGTGGGTCTGTCTTTTTCGAGGGTACCCGTCTTTTATGGTTTTCAAGGGAAAGAGGAAAACCAGCAGTATTTGTAGTGGCTGCTCAACCCCATTAATGCCTTGTTGGTTTGCACTTCAATTTGCAGCAGAATTCAGAGCGTAAGGCAAGCTCACTATCAGTGCCTCAAAAGCTGAGATTCGGACTCACTGCTTGATGCACTTGCCACATCAGCCTTGGTGTGCTCATTGCGTTTCCAGCTTACATGCCTTGCAGTTTGATCCCCTTAAGTTTTTATGTTTTCAGGATTTAGTGGGGGTTTCCACTTCACCCACTAAAGGTTAAACTTTGAGCAGGGGATCTGAGGACAGCCCAGATGCGAAATTCAAGTAAACATTGATTGCAAGACCTCTGTAGCATACGGAACCGTGCTCTGACAGGTTGACCATGGCACACATAAATCCTGAGGTCCATGCCGTTCTGGCATACCCCATTGCAGACTAGCATGGAATCCCAAGAACGGTTCCGCCAAAAGGGTGTTTTGTCCAAAAGATTGTGTTTGGTGGTTTGGGTTCAATTCATCTTGATTGCTCTTAGGCAGCGGATCTTTACACTTTATTTTTTTGGGGGGAAACCAAGGACCTACCATCAAACCACAAAAAGTTAAACAGTTTTTTTTGGCAGAGGGGGCAACAGCAACCAACTAGTTTATTCCCATGTTGATCTTCTGGAGGGCGGTGGGGAACGGGGCGCTGTCTTCCGTGAAGCCGGGCGGCGCAGGAAGGGCTACCTTTGCTTCGACCAGGTGTACGAGGCCTACAAGGGCAACCTCCTGAAGGGTTTCGCCATCAAGCGCCCTGCCAGCTGAAATGCCCGCTCTTGGCTTTTAGCTTAGAGCCGTAAAGTTTGCAGAGCCCACCGCTCTGGTGGTCCCTTGCGACGCGGGCTCTGAAATGTATACATCAGTTGGCCGCGTCCCACGTTACGCAAAGGCCGAGTCTTGGGCTCTCGGGCATAGGTGTCCTTTTTGGTTGATTTGGTTGAAAATGGAGGGCAACAATTTTGGTTTACCTGCTGATTCCAGCAACTACCAGGACCATCTATTTTCCCAAAAACCAATTGTCTATTTTCCCATTTCTACCACGGGCAATCAAGGCCGAGTCCTTCGAGTCGATTTTTGTTTCTCGAGTACTCTTCCCAAAACGGGCACCTCGTCCTCCTCGGGTCGGAAAGAAGCTCTAGAAACCGTTTCGGATGCGCCTTTGGTGGATTTCACCTATTCTTCCCCGTGTTGGCCCTTTTTTAGTAATCTTTTAGTACTCTTTTAATCTTCTACAGGGGTGGAACCACAGATTCGCCACCTCCAAACCGTTTTCTCGCGAGGAACTACACCATGTACCACCCGGCGCTGAAGGCGCTGATCATCAGCAACGAGCCGGACCTCAAGGAGCCGGCATGTTCGACCGACGGTCGGACGGTCGGACGGTCGGACCTCCGGGAGTTGTTTTTTGTTAGAAAAAACATCCGGGATTTCAGCACGTGCGGAGGCACATCTGGAAACCAGAAAGTCGTCATTTGTAGGATTTCGGGCTTTTTATCCGGGACTTGTGCCTGCGGATTGGAACCCGGAAAGCCGTTATGGGTAGGATCTCGTTATTCGGGATATATCCGGGACTTGCAGTACTTGCAGTACTTGCAGTACTTGCAGATGCACTGCTGGAACCCGGAAAAAGCCGTCATTTGTAGGAGTTTCTCTTTCTCTGGCATGGCGGATTTTGTAGGAAATGAAGCTTTTCTCTTGGTCCCCAGTGCAAGAATGTACGGGAGTAGTCAGAGCGAGTTCACCTGGTCAGCCGAGCATACCCATGACAAGGCTAGAAGCCGCCAGCCCAAAGTGCAATTCCGCCTCTACCCATCTTCCCATTCTGTCTAAGGGTGCTTCTTCTTTCGTTGCAGAACGTGGCATCCCAACTCCAGATGATTGTTCAGGCTTTGGAACGAATGCCCATCGAAAATCATGGTTAGCATCAACCCTTGGTAGCTTAAAGTAGGACCTTTCCCATTTTATGTCGAAGCTTAATGGCTTCTTGCCTGCAAGGTGCATCCACGCACGGACGCGCCTTGGCCACGATATTCTGGATGTGGTGTTTTATTTTCTGTGGTAGCTAAATTGTACTGGCAGATGCTGATGGGTCAGTTTGGCATATCCAAGCCAAAGCCATGCACTGGGTACGGCAGCTCCAAAATCTTACAGAAGTGTTAAAGCCTCCTTGGGCGTTTGTTCACCATGGTAGTTTGAACACATGTCATGTACCTGCGATGGTTAATTCGCATTGAGTTGCAGGTACTTGCAAACCAATTCAGACGTGTTGAAAAGTGTGAAGAATGGGTTTGCGTGCGTAAGCATTCACCCTCAATCGGACCCTGAGGTTGGGTCCTGGTTTGGACCAGTTTCCTTTGACAGGGACCGGGCCAACGGTCGGGTTCCATGGCGGGAGGCCCGAGGCCACGCATCACGCGGCCGGGATCGCGATGCAAAACGGCTGAGGTGTGCCGTGCCATGATCAGCAGCCTGGACGCCATCCTTCAGGCCGAGAAGGCGCCGGAAAAGCAGAAATGGCGGAATTGGCCATGGGCCGTTTCGGGGCGGGTTTTAGACCACAGACCACGCCTTCCCGTCTTGCGGAAGCGGACCACCTCACGGCTATGAAGTGGTGTAGGTGGCCTTCTTTGGGAAATGGTGGCGCCTGTTGGGGGGGGGGGCGGTTGGTAGTTCTTTGGGTTGGCTCTTGGCTTGTCAGATCTTTTGAATTCCGGTTGCCTTCTAAGTTGCAAGTTGAACAGTTTGCAGCGGGCCAAAGATCAGCCCTGCAATGCATTGGGAAGTGCCTACTGCGCCATACGCCCATGAAGATGAAGGCTGGCAAGCTTTTTGTGGCGGATTACAAGCCACATAATCATCGTGCATGCTGGGCATCCCTTTCTCAGTTTTTTAAGCTGCTTGGAGCTTGTTTTGAACGGCAGGAAAACTGAGCGTTGAATATGTGTGCAATGTTGCTTGCAGTTAGGGACGGTCAGCCATTGCACGGATCTTTGTTACGGGAACCATGGCCATGCCCCACGAAGTTTTGACGGAGACGGAGCGACTGGAAAACCCACAGCAGATAAGAGATGACCATTTGCACGCTAAATTGGATGCACCCTGGCAGGGTGCTAGAGGCTTCACAAGCTGCAGGGGGGCAGGAAGTGGGATGGCACGGCCTCAGATTCGTACGCTTGCTTGCCAGGATTTGAATGTCACCGGGTTACTTGCCTGCAGTTTTCTGGCCTCAGGACCTTTTCAATCCCACCCAACGGGATGTCGACGAGGGGTAAAAGACAACTCGCTCATTGGACCCAAAACCGGAGGGCCAGGAGCTTGGAAGATACTCGCCGTGTGGGAACGCTTGCTTGAGAATCGCGTGGTGTGGGGTCCGGACGGCTGCAAACCCTGAGTCGCATGTGTCGGCATTGGTGTTGGTGTCCGTCTTTGGCAATGGCTGTGGTGCGTTTTGATTTGGCAGGGCATCCTTTATCAACGCAGCCAGGGTTCAGTCAATTCAAGGGTTTCCCTATTACACCCTGACATTACGCCCTCTAGGGAATCCCCCTCTTCTAGCCTATTTTAAATCCTTGTAAAAAGTAGTTTATGTGGGATTATGTCGGTGCAATCCCAGGGTGTTGCTAGGAACATTTTCTCATCGACTCCAGTTCGCGATCTCAGGAATCCCATCGCCTTGACCGTGACCTTCTCCTTCGCTTCCTTCGGTAAGGATCCACCTGGGCGCCTTGGCTCTCAGCAGCTTCTCTCTGTGCGCTTGCTTGCAACAGCTGAGCGCCGGGTGCCAGGTTTTGCCATGTTTTGCCTTCTCCACTTAGGTCCCATGGACATTTAGTCAGTTCAGTTTTGTTGCCCTGCACCTTTCAATTCTCAGACACGCGTGCAACACAAAGAAATCCCTACGAACATTTCTTCGTTGCTACCGAAGTCTCCCAGCAGTTGTGGGGGGTAGGGGGGGCTCAAGTTGTTCGACTCTGCCCAACCTGATTAAACAAGTCCTGAAAAAGGCTGGAGTAGGACCTTTGGACCTGTCGCGAGGCTTGGGCAGATGGAGGAGCTCTACGGTTGCCTGCAGAACCCTGAAGCAGCTCCAACGAACTACACGCCGCCGCTTGGCAAGATTGGCGTGGGCCGGGCAGCAAGGAAAGTCCCGAACTTGGATTCTTCCGTGAGGTTCCATGTTCCATGTGTGTGTGTGTGTTGAGGGTACCTTTGTTGGTGGTTGAGCCGGCTGGCTGCTTGACATGCCTGTAAGCCGCATTCTTCTAGTCAAAACCAACTAGGGGAGAGTAGGAACATGCATGATTCCCCAAGGATGGGTTTCCCGCAAGGCCCTGCCTATGCAGGGATGTCCAAAAAAACAGTTGAAGAGCTGACTCGCCCCGCCGACCCGAGTTTTCAAGCGTTTCGAGCATGCCACAAAAAGACCGAGACAGGAAACAAAAGAGAATGACAACAACGAAATGCACAACTCATTTGCAGCCCAGCGGGCGCAGCCCTAGCTGTTGCACTCAGGGGCAAAGGTTTCCCTTCCAGTTTCACGTGGCAGTTCAGTGAGAGCAAGTCGGGGTTTTGACAAGGGCCCGCGGCATGTCTTGCGCCGGATCTCCCGCGCACCGCGTAGGAAGAACGACGTGCTGAGTGCCTTCAAGCAGCGCTGGGTTCACAGCTTCAACACCGCTGCGCCCGGGCACGTGGTGGAGGCGCGGGGGGTGCGGAGGGAATTCGGGGAGGCCGGCAGTCGGGGACTGGAGGTCGGGGGCTTCACATGTCGCCACGTTCCTTGGAAGTCAAGCTGAACTCTGCAGGCTTCGTGGAGTCACACTTGGTGATTTTGGTCGTGCTGGGAGTGAACCCTGGTTTGCAGCTCCATGATTTGAAGCAAATGCTGTGAGCCGCTCGCAACTTCCATTGAGAACAAAAAGCGCCCCTCCACCCGCTCCTTGCCATTTCAGATCTGGTTTTCGTGCCATCTCTCAGTGGCCTCTGGTGGAAAGGAGCTGGGGAAGGCAACATAAACGCATCAGAGGCACCTCCTTTTCTGGGGTTTCGAAGTGAGAGAGGGAGAACAAGGCAAAGGGAGCTGCAACATGCATCAGAAGCGCCCTTTCTTTTGGGGGGTCCGAAGTGAAACCCAGTTTTTACCTTGAAAGTGCACGCAGTCTCGACCTGCAGGAGCTGTTCCTGGATAAGCCTCTCGCCCAGATGTGGTTGCAGTTGCAGGTTTGTCTTTACCGCTCCGCTGCGGGCGAAGCTCGCCACTCTGCGAGCTGCTTTTTGGGACTCTGTTTCAACCCCTTTGGGTCCTAGCGCTAACCCCTTTTGGATTTGGGTACATGGCAAGCCTGCCCAGATTCTTCCCTCGGGGTGTAAAGGTTCGTCGAAACCCGTTGGCAGCCTGAGGCAAGATAACCGTTGGCTTGTCCGGTCAAGGTGTCTGTGCGCGGGGCCAAAAAAAAGCGCCTCGCGGGAGCAAGTCTCATTTGCGAAGCTGGCAGACCAAGGTACCACAAGAGCAGCTTCTGGTCGGAGGAGATGAAGATTCCTTTGTTCATTGGCGAGTACCACAGCGTGCACGTGGGTGCCAAGGATGCTCGGCTTGCGATTCGCGAGTCCGACCACCGAAAAAACAGCCCCCCCGCACGCACATGGCTCAGGTGCAACACCTGAGCAGCTTTTACCACCCTCCTTTCATGCTGAGCCACAGTTGTGATGTCATGGGACGGGCCCGCGTAAGCAAAACCCCGCACGGATGCACGGCGTAAGCCTGCATACGAACTTTTTGGTGACACATGCTGCGTGGGCGCCGGCAAACATCCTGCTTTGTGACTGTTTGCAAAAGTTGTTGAATTCCAGCAGCATAGCGATTGGATTTCCAAAGCACAAGGGTCACCGCACAACAGATTCGGCAAAACTAGGGGTCCGGGCGCGAGGCAACACAAGCTTGGAGTCAAAGTTGCCAAAGCGATGAGCAAGAGAGCTGCAAAGCCAAGAGGAAAGCAGCGCCAAGTTGATCCGCACGTGAGCAATTCTTCATCGCAGAGTCATCCACGCCATCTTGAACAGCGGCGGCCGCGTAGAAAATAGAGCCCGCACAAGCAATTCTTGAGGGGAAACGCGACGCGTGAGCCGCGTGTAAGCTTGACATGCTCGCTGACTGCCGCGTAAGCTAAAACGTGAGTCGCATAAGCCAAGCGCTAGCTCGCTTGCAAGCAACCTTCCACGATTTTGGGACTCATGTCGGGTTTATTGGGTTGCTCGCCTGGTTTTCAAAATGTTCGGACGTTGGTCTTGTCTCACCGTGGCGCGTCTTTGGATCTGTCCGAAGCTTATGCCAGTGCTCGCGGGAGTTGCGGGTGAGAGACAAAAAGCAACGGGTGCTACTTTGGAAGAAGTTCCTCGATTGGACTCCTCTGGGGAGAAGGATCCCCAATAGTCCACCTTTCTTTGGCTGTAGGCCCAGTGAAGCCACCAGGCTGGTAGTCTGTGGTCTGGTGCAGTCAGGACGACTTGCCGATTTTGGTGGGGGACGCGCTGTCGCCAAAGTACCCGTTCTTCCGTGGCTACAATTTCTTCGAGCGCCTCATCTGACACGGGGCATTGGCCGCCTTGGCCGGTGCCTCTGGAAACGCCCAGGGTGGATTTTTCTACGCCGCCTGATGCGGGCATGTCGATTGCAAAAATGGACAGGCGCTGGGCCTATCCGCTGGCAAGGGGGCGATGCTCCCTTTTGCGCCAGGTGGCCATGCTGAATATGAAGGGAGGCCTCCCCCAACCCATGTGCCGTCTAAGTACTACAAGGGCCCAAATACGCAGTATGTGGTTGCGATGTACTATAAACCAAACTTCCTCACCATGGGGGAAGACTTGGTCTGCCAGTAGTTCCCTTTTACCGTTTCTTTTTGGGGGAGGGTCCCCCTACTAAAACAGACTGCAGAGAAAACGGTTACCGTTATTCAAACCTCTCTACTGGAGGACCTAGAATAATATTTTGCCCTACATTTTACCTCGGCGGGCCACGGAGGTTCTCCGTGCGCTACGATAAGGGCGGCAGCGAGGAGGCGTTTGGGATGTTCGGCTATGGAGATTGCCCGCTGCTGGACATGAACTACAGTGGGCAGGCGCCAGCTACAGGAAGCGAACACACAATATGACAACCCGGTGCCGGGCGATGAATTCAAAGTAACGCTGCCCCGCACCTCAAAAATCACTGGCAAATGGGCAAAAAGGGCCTTGACTAGTGAGTCAAGCCGGCACAAAAGACCAGCGCACTTGCGCCAACACTCGACAGCTTTGTTGATTTTTGTTCAAAACTGTGTGTGTGTGTGGCGTGTCTGTGGGTGGGTGGGTGGGTGGGTGGGTGGGTGGGGGGGCGGGCGGGCGGGCGGGCGGGCGCGCGCGCGCGTGCGCGCGTGTGCGTGCGTGGGTGCGTGTGTGCAATGTTTGGTCAGTGCAAGTTGCATCGCCGGCACCCGCAGGTCTACACCGTGTGGAATCTGGTCTCGGGCTTAGAGAGGTGGTCTTACATCGCAATGAATGTGCGAAGGCTCTTCATGTTTCTCATTCTGAGCAGCTAGTCCCCAGCCAAAATCGCCGACCAAAAGGTTGTTGTCCAACCGGCGTTTAGATATCGTTGCTTCTTTGTGAAGCAAAGCCATCGCCACAAGCAATGCAGTTCCCAGACCTGTTGGAAGAGTCCGTGTGAATTCACATGTGAGGATCTTGGGGAAGGCATTTTCAGATGCCAAGAGGTAATTAGTCGCTTGCAGACATGGGCATGGTGTCGGAATAGGGGGTCCCTCAAATGGGTGCGATTTTCTGAAAGCAGCTCCAGGTGGTTGGTTTTTCGCTTAGGTCCCTCAGGTGAATTAAGCCCTTCATCCAAGCCTTCGGAAACCCCTTCCGCTCAGGGTTCTGACTGTTTTTACTCACAGATTTACTTTATGGAAGCTTTTGCGCCCCGGGCCCTCATGACATGCAGTCAAAGGCCACGTCTGGACGCCCTGCGTGAGGTCCCTTCCCCAGACAAGTACGGGTACCCGCTGTCCGTGGCCTTGAGCAATGCCTACGGCAAGGCGTGGGCGGCCATGGTCAGAATCGGGCTTGGTTGGTGCCTTTTTGACAGATGCATGTAAACCAGATTGAAAGTCACATGTGCCACGTATTTTGAGGGAGCTCGGGGAAACATGAGCTTTGCCCGAAATGCACTCATTGCTCTTGTTTGCCCTGGGCTCGGGGTGGAAATGGTGGAAAGCTGTGGGTGGCGAGGGGGACGTGGGGTGCCGCCAGATTGTAATCATGGGGACTGGGGGGGGGCGGCCCATGAGGCAAGCTGACTGTGTACCATGCCCTTAGTTGTGCAAGTCGACAACTTGGCAGGGCATTGTTTTGGCTATTGCCAGGCAGTCAGCCGGCTTTATGTTTCCAGGAGTGCACAGCAGCCACTGGGCGACTTCCCTTTCCACAACTGAAGCAACATTTTCTTTCAGCATGGTCGCATCTGCTGGCACCGGGGTTAACACTCGCTCTGCATCCAGGCTTTTTTTAATTCAGCTTTGAAGGGTGCATCCAAACTCGGCAGTCTTATCTGGTCGCTGGGCGGGTTTCCTGGCAGTCCTGGTTTTGCGCTTGACGTGCAAGATGCATTTTTAAGGTTTTTCCTTTGGGGCACCCTGGTCTGCTCGTGACCTCGGGCGAGTACCGCTGCATCGAAGAAAACTCATCCCGAAGCTTCTTATGCCTCGTGTCCAAGCGGCACGCGTGCACGCCTCGTGTCGGCTAAACCGCCAGGGCAAGAAGCTTCCCAAGCTGCGGAACTCGCCCTGCCTGGAGGAGACTTTGGGGGTGCGCTGAGGCGCCCTTCGAAGCCTTCGAAGTTGGGCGAGAAGTGGCTTGTTGCGGTGTGTGTTTTTGATAGGTTTGATGTTCCGGGGATGGTTTGCCATTTACCCTCTACAAGAAGAAGTTTTCGATAGCTTTGGGTTGGTGGTTTGGTGGTGAAACGGATTTCCCATTTACCCTCTACAAGAACTAGCGCTTCAAATCCAAATCCAAGCCACCAATCCAAACCACCAATTGAGGGTCGCTTGAATTTAGCCCACATCCCGGCTGCTTGAAGAGTGCTTGCATCTCTTTGGTTGCATGGCCAGGCCCCAGGAAATAGTTGCGCGTCAAACTCCGTGAGGGCTGCGGGTCCACACTCCGAGCGATCCACACCTGATAATTACGCCAAAGCACGCACTCAGCATCCAAAAAGGTGCAACACATCCAAGCAGTCATTGCTTTTGCACGTGCAGATGCTGAGGAGTGCAGTGGCGTTTCATGCTAGCTGTTTACATACTGACGTACTGTGTAGCGCCACTTCAAAGAAAGGGCGTTACCGATCTAGCCAACAGGTAGCTGCGAATCTGAGCGCCGCTGCAGTGGCAGGTATAAAAATTGGGGTTGTCGAAAATAGGGAGCCCTTATCGGACCCTCTCATTTTTGCTCCGCCTTCGTTGCGGGGTCCGAAAAGGGGGCCTCAGCCGGCTTGCGTGCGTTGGGAATGGGAAGTTTATACAGGCATGAGGTCCTTACACCCTTCATCGCCGCGAACTTTGGATCCATTTTGACAGAACCAACGGTCACTGGGTCTTGCTCTTCATGACCTGACCGGCTGTGGTTGCCAACTGGGGGCGGTTGGCAGATTATCAGATTAGGCCTGGGCCTGTGCGGGTCCAGTTTCTCTTCTGTTGAAGGGATCGGATTCCTGTTTGAATTAGGTTTGTCTGGGGCGCCGTTGCGGTACGGCATGAGTTGGTGGTCTGGACTGGTGGTTTAGGGTAGATGGGAAACTAGGGGAGAGCTAATCTTCTTCTGTTTGAAGGGTTTTCTGTTCGAAGCCTGTAATTTGCACTTCTGGTTGTGGTAAATCGGGTTCCCGACCCAAGGCAAGTCAGGGAAGCTGTGCCCCTACACCAGTGGGACGGATTCCAGCAGGGATAGAGAGAGAGAGAGAGAGACCAGTGCATCCGGGGGCGGGGGGAGGGGGGATCTTCTCGCGCCAAAGATTTCCTGAGGCCGGGACATCGACTCAGAGTTGAACCCCTGTGCCTTTGGCCGGCGCTGCAAGAGGCTGGCGGTTTTGACGAGGGGATGGGACTGTATCCCCCAACCCCTTAGTGGGAGGAGTGGGGAAGTCGAAGTCTGGAAATCTCCTTTCTCCCCTTTTCTGGGGTAGACCAGGTGTAAAGGGAATTGGGGACTTTTGGGGCTTCCCTTTGCTTTGGTATCCCCAGGCCCCCTTGTTCAGCAGGGTGTGCTCAACAGAGCAGCCCACGAGAAAGGACTGGAATGAGGGGCCCCCATTTATCGCCATCCGAAGCGAGCTCAACGCCCTCGGCAAAGGTGGCTTGCACAAGGAAAGCCTGCCTTGCCAAAGAGACGAGTCTTGCAAAAGGCACCACAAGCGCTTCCATGACTGGAACCTGCTTGTTTGCATGGAGGGCACGCGTGGCTTGCCAGGAGGTGAAAGAATCACGGTTGCACGGTTGGTGTGTTTCTGGTTGGTTGTACTGCCCAGTAACATGCACCAAGCACCCCAAACTACCTGTTGTGGTATAGACTGCAGCCAAGGCGTTCCGAGTGCGCTATCCGCTGGCCAAAGGAACCCTGGGACAAGGTATGGACAAGGTATGCTGTCCAAAGTTGGTACCTGGAACTCCTGTAACATTGTCTGCGCTCGAGGCATGTTGCGCCATGGCAAGCTCAGAGGGGAGGCTAAAGTGAGCTTCGGTGATGGATCCCCTCTCAGCTTTTCGGCTTTGGGCATCTCGAATGCACCCCGGTGGCCAGGCAGGGCTGTTTCTACGACCACCCCGAGGGGCGGATGATCGACGACGCGCCGCCGGCCTTTTTGTGTTTTTTGGCGGCTCCCAGGCCAGAGGCCCAAACCCAACACACGCAGCATTTGGATGGCAAAGGGGTTTGTCTTTGTGGCGCCGGCAGTGCGTTCTTTATATACATCCTAAGGACCACAGGTGTCCTTTTTCTTTTTGGTTGTTTTGCTTAAGCAGTAGGAGGGCCCTGGTTTACCTGGCGGTCACTCATCTACCAGGGCCATCTATTTTCCAAAAAGGACACCGTATGTCAAGGGCACATGGCCAAGCAATCGACGCCTGCGGGCCAGGATCCTACGAAGGGGCAGTGCAAGTTCGGTATTCAGTGTGCCGCTGCCTTGGGCCGCGATGGGAGGAGCAAGATCCTGGCTGTGATGTGTTGCATGCGTAAGCTGCAGTGGCAGATACCTAGCATGCAACTTGTGACGAGGTGTGAGTGGCAAGATGTCAGAAGAACACCCTGACACGCGGAAGTCCACGTTGGCCGACGGGAGTACATTGACCGCGCAGCGTTTGGCTACCCCGCGCCCCGTTTCCCACGCAGGTCTGACTCGCGCCGCCCGTGGCGCGTGAGCTCCCCCCCAGGTGCTACCCCCCCTAAACACATAAAAAACAAGGCGAACCTCTCCCAACTTGTTTTCTCGTCCGCCCCCCCCCCCCGGCGCGCGTTTTTTCCCGATTTTTGCTGTTTTACTGGTGTGTGTGCTTTTCCTAGCAAAACCCATAGGAGAACCTCACACGGAAAAAAACAGGAGAGAGGAAAAACGCGTCAACGTAAAACTGTTTTAGTTTGAAACAGCCCAGACGGACAAAACATGATTCGAATTTTTATTAAATTTTCAAGGGGGAAACGATGCGCAAAAAATGGAAACAACAAAAACAACGAAAACAAAACGAAAAAGAGTGGGAAGCAATGACTGGCCAGCAAGGGACCTGGGATGACCCAGGACCAAGATGGCTAAAATGATGCCAAAGCCTTCGTGCCCAGAATCCAAAATCAAGCAACCTCTGCCGACCTGCCGAGCAAGTCGCAAAATCAAGCCGACACTTCCGCCCTGTCCCTCTCCCCGTCAAAAACAAGTCAAAAGCAACAAGTCGAAGCCCATAAGTTCTCCAAATTTCCAAATCGCAGTTTTTTGGTTTGTACCCCCCCCCCCCCCCAACCCAACCCAAAGAGAACTTCTGCTTCCACCCCCGACTCGACTTCCGATGGCTCTCGCCCTGGGCGTGCTGGGTGTCGGGGTCATCGCCTCCGCCGTGGTGCGGGGCCTCGGCGGAACTTCCCTCGGCGCGGTGACTTTGTCCCCGCGGAACGCGGCGAAGGCAGCGGAGCTGCAGCGAGACTTCCCGGAGGTGGGTTTTTTTCTGGGGAATGCTTTTGCGTTTGTTTGCCCGTCCAGTGTGCTAGTGCTTGTGTTGTGCGTTTCGGGTGTTTTTGAGGGCTTTCCTCGTTTTTTACTACCTGTGGTAAATCAAAAGAAGCATCCGGCCTCTGTTTTGGCACGCGCCCATGTTGAAAGATGTCCAGTTTCTTTTTTGTGAAGGATTTTTCCGGTAAAGTCGATCAAAAACAGGGCACGCTTTCGTCCCACTGTCACTGGTGGGGATTAGTCAATCTAGCGGATGAACAGAGTTGTGCTTGCCCAAAAAGTCAAAAAGAGAACGCCCTGCTATTAATCAAAGAGGGGTTTGCACATTTTACCCTGGAGATCCCCCAGAAACGAGTTTCCACTACAAATCATCGTGGTTAGGGTTCCATGTTATTATGTCTGGAGGGGGCGGGGAGTCACTTCCTTTAGCACCCATGCCCAGTCTGTTTCCCTTCGCGTGGCCGGGTTCTCATTTATCCTGCACGCCCAGTTAGAGGACCTCTTTTGGATGGCGTCCGTTTTTAAGGAGAAACATCGCCGGGTTGCGCCAAGCCGCCAAGCCTTTGTTTCAACCTGGTCGAACCACCGCCGGGTTTTCCTTGGGCGGCAGGATCTATTCGTTTGAACAAAGCCCCCGACAGGTGAGGATCGCAGGGAGCCGCCCGGAGCGAACTGGCAAGCAATCGGTTTCGCAGAGCTGTTGGGTTCATTGCGGGGTTGTAAGATGTATATTTATTGGTATCTTCGGTTGCTCCTTTGCTTAGATTGGGAACCCCCACCATGGGTGATACTCTGTATGTATGTGTGCGCTGTGGATCCGTCTGGCAGAGCGCAGCCGCTCGTAAGGCAACCAGGAAGTGGTGGATGCCTCGGAGTGCGTCCTAGTGGCGGTGCTGCCGACACAGGCAGAAGAAGTCTTGAAGGCCCAGCCAAGTCGGAATGGGACGCCATTAGGATGATCTTGGAATACTTGCTGATGCGCAGGGAATGAGAAATAGAGTGGCCCGAAGAAAACACATGCCCGGTTTGGTTTCCTTGCCGGTTCATTCCCGGAGGGTCATTCCCTACTGAGCACCAGCTAGTGTCCAACTTTGCAATTCAAAGTTGCACTTTTTGTGGGCGCAATAGTCAGCAAGGGGCCCTGAGTATAGTTGGTTTCGTTTGGCGTCCCTGAAAGAGCGCCTTCACCATTTTAGCAATGAACATGGCCAGGTGAAGAAAAACAAGGGGCAGTCGCAATGGAAGGATCGCCCTCTATTCTACCCATGGGTTTGATTCTGGCCCCCTTTGAATGGTTCTCGTGTCGGCTTTGACTTTCTGCTGGTGTAGTTTGGATTTGAACCCCTGGCGTTTGTAGAGGGTCACATGCGGTTCCCCCCGCCCAAACCACCAAGCCACCAATCCAAGCCACCGATTAGAGGTTCTGGAAGCGTTTTGGTCGCGAGGGCCTGGTCTTCCGGGAGGACCAGCAGGTGATTTCCCTCATGGCCGGGCTGTCGCTGTCGCAGCTGCGGGCCCTTTGCGGCTCCGAAAAATCGGGGCCGCGGGTGTGCATCGCCATCCCGCAGCTCGGACCACCCTAAACCTACCCCAACGCTTGCCTCCCATTTGCTTCCGAGCATTTTATTTTCCCCTCTTGGTTTTAAACACAATCTATCACTGCTGGTACAGGCGCGTGTCCTCAGATTTTGACCTTCTACAGCCATGGACGACTCATGGGTCGGGATCTTTTTGGGGTGCCGTGATGAACACGCCTATCAGGCCGGTCTACCAGACAGTTTTTTTTTGCGCCACAGGTACCCGGCGGTGGCCAAGCGTCAAGGCGCCGCGCTGCTGCTGCAGCCCACCGAAGCGGCGGAAACCATCTTCCAAGGCGGGCGCGCGAAGCGCGCGAAGGCCGAGGGGGTTGTGCCAAATCGTGGGTTGAGCAAATTGGCCGAGTCCAACTGGAACATAGAAGAAAACCAGACACAAGTTCTGCCAAGAAGGACGATGATTCTACACATGTTGGGGATTTGGAACCTAGGACCGCGAAGCTATGTTTCAACGAAATGCTGGTGCTTTTGGGTTTCCATGTTGGTTTCATTTCATGTGCTTGAATGATCTTGAATGCGGATGTTCTGGGCAACTTTGGTGTTGGGGTGGAGCCTGGTTTGGTTGCATCCCCGGTGGCAAACAAACGTCCCCAGTAGTGCCCTTTTACCGTTTCGTTTTTGGGGGAGGGTTCCACCACTAACATAGACTACCGAAAAAAGCTGGCACCCTTATGCTAACCTCTCTACTGGAGGACCTAGAAACAGTCATAGCGTGCAAGGCGTGACCACGCCTTCCCCGTTAGGCCTTGGCCGGTGCGTGGCGGTCCAGAAGGAGGCCACAGCTAGTGCAAACACGCTGGCCCGAATCGAATCGAACGGTCGGTCTTCAAGGAATCCTGGTATGCCATACCAGGATTGATTGAAAAATGGTTGGTTCCCCACTTCTGCCCTTGAGGGATCAGGTAGATGTGTTCCGCTGAAAAGCGCTGGCGCCCCTGCTCCAGATTAGCCCCATGACGGCCCTTGATGTTGGCCTGTCAGGCGGAGTTTAGGTACCTGATGTGCATCTCCGGGCTCATGGGCAACTTCTACAAGCAGCAGCTTACGGCAGGGCTGCCCAGGCAAACAAAATGCACACTTGGTTTGCAACATGCTTTAGCGAACTCACCGGGCGGGTAAAACGGGCTCCATGGTGAGGATCCCTTAGAGATTATGCGCATGACAAAGGTCCCTTACTTGGAGATTGCTTAGTTCCGGTGTGTGAAGATTAGTGCAGGCTGGGGCTTTCAGCAGAAACGTGGACTAGAGTGCAACAGGCGACTCCTTTTTTTTTCAAATGTTTTTGCAGGTGCCGAGACTTTGGCGGCACCTTAGAAACTGCGGATGAATGGCCTGGGCATGTTTGGTCAGTGATGGGACCCAGAACTTTGCTGGAACTTCAAGCACTTTGGAGTGCTTTCTGGCTTTCCAGGCTCTCAGTTTGTGTTTGGGCCCATGCTTGAGATGTCACAGCATGGTAGCAGCAAGCCAGCAACGGCACCCATCAGCATACATTGACCTTCCGCATGCAGGCCCTTATCTGAGGGATTCCTTGCTTCCGGCCTGCGAGTCTTGTAGTAATTTGCCAAGACTGCTTCTTTGTTCCTGGGCGCGCGCAGGACATTTTGCAATGAATGGCCTGGAGCGGGTCGCTTCCGCATGGATTGTGTGCTTTAAGCCTCCGAGGTGCCATCTGACCGAAAGCAGACAACCAACCGCCGTTAACGGTTCATCCAGGTCGATTAACATTTCTGTCTGAAGTTGCCCAGCACTCCTTGCCTCCCAATTTGACATAGCACACCCAACACAGATATCCCTTTTGCAGCAAACTAGGAGACATGATGGCTATGCTACGGTTATAGTGGATGTCGCGCTAAGTACATTTGTGCAAATGGCCAAATGTAGATAACACATATGCCTGTGTATATGCACATGTATCCACACACACACATGTATTTGCATCTATACATGCAAACACACACACACACACACACACACACACACACACACACTCAGTTGCCCAGTGGTGCCTTTTTTCATTTGTTTGGGGGGAAGGGTTCCGATTCCTTTAATTAAAGTCAGCCAACCAAAAACAATGGGATGCCGATCCTTTTTCCCATGGAGATCCACCGGGCATCTGAGTACATGATGTTTAAACAGGGTGTCCTCCATCTCCCTTGTTGGAACCTCCAAAAGTGGCAGTTGTTTCAATGGAAGCCGCTAGTCATTTTTTGAACTTTTGCAGGGGGAATCCAGTGACCCCTATTAAGCAACCCTTTTTTGGGACTTCTTCAACAAATTCTGCCCAACTCTGCCAGGGCCTCGAAATCCCGGACCCACTGCTGAAGGGAACCAACCCTGCGCATTTTCCCAATGCACTCAAAGCGGGTTGTTAAAAAGCAGTGGGTCACATGTTTCAAAAGCTCACTCACTGTTTTCCCATTGTCACTCGAAGCGGTGATAGGGGTAGGTGCACCACCCATTTTAGTCCATTGTAGTGGGGATTGGGATGTTCACTTGGATTACAAGGTTTTGAGCCATGGCCATTTTCACAAAGGAACCAGCTGCTGTGAGCTCGCGCTTCGGCCGCGCTTCGGCCACGTGGCACTCCGTGAGGCCCAGCGGTGGCTGGAGGCGCGGGGCGTCCCGGCGGCCGCCGCGAGCGCCTGGGCGGGTGCCTCCTTCGCCGCCTTTGCGGCGGACAGCGCGGAGCCCCGCGAGGAGAATGCGATCGATCGATCGATCGATCGGGGGCCGACAGACGGCGGCTGAAGGTGGCTCCCGGCCACAAAGGTCTCTTGGGATTTTGGATGTTTTGGACTTTTTAGTGGTTGCTCACCCAGCCAGTGGACACTTTAGACTTTTTTCCTTGGTGGCTCTCCCTTTGTTTGAGTGGTGGCACAACAAGTGTGCACTTTTTTGGGGCTGGTCACTAGCCAAGTGAGGTTTTGTTTTGGTTTTTAATGGTACAAGTAATTGCAATTTAACCCACAAGTTAAAACTTTGCACGGGGGATCTGAGGGCAGACATATGGGTATGTGACGTGTTAAAGTAGGGGAGCCGCAAAATGGCTGGTTGTCCTTTTGGCTTCCGTTTTCAAATCACCCCAAAGGGGGGGGGGCCAGAGGTGTCCTTGATAGGTTTGATTGCAAACGCACGGCGCTGGTTTAGATGGGTCCCTCCCCAAGCGTCAAAAAAGGGGGATGACAGCCATCGCATCTCATCCACCAATCCCTCATCATGGCTCCTGCTGCTTCCACTTGGAAGCATGGAGTCCCTCCTCACCCGCCGGAAAGGTTCGATGGCACCTTCTCAGCAGCGGTTCTTAGGGCTCTCGGAGCCTGTCCCCCCAACAATGTGCTTTGGCAGATTTCCGAGCTCAAATCCAAATCAAGAGTAGATGCAAGCAAGTTTGGTGGAACCGGGTTCATGATATGTCCCCGTTTGGGTGGTCTAACCATCACCTTCTGGAGGAATTGAATTGATTCTCCCTTTGGTTGGGTGATGCTTGGGAAGAGATGCAGCAATTTTGGGACACCAATCATTTTGTAGCTATTCACAGTGATAGGACACACTGAAACGAAAACCTAGATGAACAAGTAATAGAGGACTGCTTCCTGGTCACCAAGAGGTGCCACAGGAAGCCTTTTGATTCTTCGCAGACTTGGGTTTACTCCTTTAGAAGCAGGTTTGATTATGACTCCAGACAGTCCACACGCGTTCGGTGCGGCAGTTTGGTGAGCGGTTGGGTCATGTTGGGTCGTTTTGTTGGGTTGCTTTAGCTTGGGACGGGGCAATCCACGTGGAAGAGACCATTTGGAGAGATAATTTTAACATCCTGGTTGAACATTGCATATGTTTGGATGCGCTTGCGCGCAGATTGCTATTCCACACATGGAGTGTTTGGGAGTGGTTGCGCTCTTGGCAGTTGGGATTGGTTGATGGCTGCCGGTTGGCCAATTGGGTGATGGGAGTCGGGAACCTGGGGCAAGCACAAGGCGTGTCTGAGCCACCCGGCCCTCTGAGGAGACCTTGGAGGAGCTTCTGGCTGAGCAAACCCCCGGAGGGCTCAATGAGAAGGCGGGGAGGCGTTGAAGTTTGGTGTGAAGTGGGATGCAGTAAAAAAAAGGAGCCAAGTTACAGCCAACTGCGACATCTGGCGAACTTTCCGCACCAAAGGCTTGCTGGTGGGGAACCCGGACACAAGGCAGTGCAGAAGGCATGCCGCCAACAGGAAAGCTAAACTCTATACTCACCTCAATGAGTTTGGCTGGTTAAACAACATAACAATCCTGTGTATCCTCGGTGAATTCGGCACTTCCCACGGATGCTTCGGATTGCCCAAGCCTCCATTTCCAGCAGGCCAGACCCAGCTGGACTCCATCGTCCAAGGAACCTTCAGAAAAGGGAAACTTACCAACATAATCAAGTCAAGTCCTGCAAGCAAGCATACCTGTTGGACTGGGTTTCGGCAAGTATCTAAAGGAGGTCTGTGGCTTTTGTTGCTGTTGGCGCTGAAATGGCAGGCGTGACATGTTCGGACTGACCCTCATGAGGAAGTACAGCTAGTGGAAATCAGTCCATCCACCCTCATGTTCCTACACAATTGCTGTAGATGATCGTTTGCCGAATTCCCTGAGCACGCAGTGGCCCCAGGTGAATCTTGACAGGACAAATCAGAAGATGGGGGACACACGATGCATCATGATGTTTGACTGTTCACCAATCGCCCGCTCGTTACCACTGTATCGTGTGAAGTGGTGGGCGTCCTCCCTGCCCTGCAACTCAACCTGGAATCCCAAAAAAGGGGGTCCCGCAAAAAGGCCTCTGCTCCAAGCGGAGGGGTTTTGGGGTGACGCCTTAACGTTGGTTCGGCGTAGGCGGTTCCTTGGTTCGAAGTTGCCATCCAGGTCTGGCAGCTGATGGACGCGCAGGGCAGCAACCAGAAGCTTTGCTGCTCGGAGGTCATCCAGAGGTTTGGGTCGGGACGAACGCCCAGTGGATCCCAGTTAGCTCCATAGTAGGTAACCAGCCATGGTCCTTCTGGTTTTGAAGGGTGCTTGCCTTGGCTGCCTATACAGGTAAATGGACTGGGTAGGATTACACCATTGACACCTATCTACTAGCAATTTGTACGAACTTGCAGGCGAGCGAACTTTGCATGACTGCTGCCTTGACCCCCGACCAGCCCACTGCGTTTTCAAGTGTTGAGGGCCCTGATGTGCCATGATGTGCCGAGAAATTGAGACCACGGACGCAGAAACAAGCCAGGCAATGGCAATCACGCTGCAGGTTCAGAATTTGTTCAGCGGCGTGGCTCGACTCGCACCCCGTTCCCCAAGCCGGGGTTACTGGGAGCGCACCCCCCGCTCAGAAAGATTCCTTCTAAGAAGCTTCCAAGAATCTGTTCGGGTTTGAGAGGCCCTTGAATGTTCTCCTAATTTCCCCAATGTTGACCCCTATATAAATAAACCCCTGCTTTTCTTGGTCGGGGGGGGAGGGGGCGTTCCCCTCCAAAAGTGCTGCTTTCCCACTAAATCCAGGGACACCCCCCTATTAATAAACTGTGTCAAATGGGGTAACCCCACCTAGTTTTCATAGTTTCCATGTATCATGTTTACCTCTGCAAGTTCAACACAAACTAGTGGGTTGATTGATAGAGGGTCAACATTATGCTTCCCTTTCAACCTGGTTGGGTTTTGCGCCAAATCGCGGCGCTCAGGTTCTGCCTTGGAGGCGGTGCACAAGCGCCTCACCTCGGGCCGCTTCCCGGACTCGGCGCCAGCAGCGTTGGAGGAGGCATCGCTGCTGACGCTGCTGGGGGCCCTGCTGAGGTGGGCGGTGCTCATTTTGTCAGCTTCCATGTGTTGAAATGAATATATAGATATATTTGCATATCTATTTCTAGATAGCTATCTCTATATATATATATATATATATGTTTTTTCCCCCTTGTTGGCTTCAAAGGGACACTAATGGACATGTTTGTATTTTTCCGGGGGACTTCAGGAAATGGAGGTCAGTGTAACCTTTTCGCAGGGCTTGATCGATCTTGCAATTTGAAAGATGTCCCTTTCTACCAGGCCAAAAAGGAGGATTATTAATCTGGAGGTTCTGTCAACGTAAGAATCCCCCAGTTTGGGGGTGGTTTCAAAAGGAAACCATATGAAGCTGCCCGTTTGGGGGTCCAAACTCAGGTGGCCCTTTCGGAGGAGGAAGAGCCGGCTGCGGTGAAACCGCGAGATGAATCTGAGCAAACGGCGAGCCAGCGGCGGAGGGGGGGGGGACGGGGCGGTTCCAGGCAAATGTCCATCCTCTTTTCCTGCTTGGTGAATTGCACAAATTTGCGCAGAAAAGCGATGAGCAGCGATGCACTGATGCTTCTGGATTTGTTTTCAAGAAGTTCCGAAAACTTCCAGACCTGGCTTGGGCATCCGGGTGAGGAGTGCAGCATGCAAGTGATATGCGTATCCTTTGCACAAAGCAAACTCGATCATCCCTTCCTTGTGCCAAGACACTGAAAGCAGTATGTGGCAAGCATGAGAGGGACAGGCGTGTGATGGCGTGTGGCAGGTTGTGCTGGGGGTGTTTTCTCGAACCAAGGATGCCGTCCGTGACTTGTTCATCAGTTTGTTGAGGGGATGACCGTTTTGCTTAATGCTCTGTGGCTGTGCTGAGGCTCGGGCCGATTGCCTCTACTCACACCCTGACGGCGCGCATTGGGCTAAAGACTGGGGCATGCGGGGTGCCACTCCGACTTAGTTTGAGGCGCCAAACTATTGGAATGGTGCGCAAAGGCCTAGGAAGCACCCTTTTGTCCGTAGTCCGTTCATGCGTGTAAACCAGAGCTGGCTTAATTCTGTTCGATCATGAGGTGCGCTATGGACTTGTGCCATAGTCAAAACTTACTTAGACTTGGGGGTTG